ATATCTTGTCTGCGTCGCTAACTTGATCTGCTATGCTCTCTCTACTCGGACTTCTCTACCGCTCTCCGCGCTCACATTATCTCTCATCTCCCTGCCGGCCTTTTGAACTTCTCCGCAGCGTAGAGCAAAAGGCTCGTATTTCCTGTGTATTTCACGATTTTTTCCTTTTTTCTCCACTGGCGGTCCACTTCCTACCCCTACTTTCACATTTGAGTGGAATTACCTCATAATTTAATCCTGAATCTTGCCTTTAAGGCCAACCACATTAATCAGATTGAAACCACTATGACATCCTGAACTCCAAATTGGAATAAACTGTCAGCCTTACAAGAAATTCCAGATCGCAATCGCATTGAAAGAAAGGGCGTAAAACATTAATTACTGCGATATATGAAAGTATAGCGTTTGAGAATAATAGATACGCAAAAAAAAACACTGCAGCGCAAACATGCACTAATGCCCGATGAGATTATGTAGTAGAATTTGAAAATCGGGTTACCATACGGGAAAATAAGCCGGATGCGAATTTTTGAATGGGGAATCGAAACAACGATAGGTACGGAGCGCATGTCTAGTGGAGATATAACCACGATATGATCATCCGCTCAGGACCGGTTCTAAAAGAAGAAGAAGCCATAATGTAAAAGATGCAATACCTCTTGCGCTCAAGTCCTTGGGTAGGGAATGGGACAGGGGAGAGGAAGGAGGGGGGACATTTTCGCACATTAGGGCATTTGGAAGCGCGGCAATGTTTTCTCGGGATATTTTAATTTTTGTATTTGTCCTAGTATGATGTCACGGAATGCTATTGCGGATTAGGCCGCTTAGCGCGCTAGGGCGTGGTCGGGACCGCCCCTTGAAGTCCTTCCACTAGTAAGGTTCAATGACGTCATCAAATCCGCAACGCCGTGCAGCCATCGTGATCGCTGCCTCTAACGTAACGGTGGCTGCCGTTGAAGCAGTAGCCCGGAACGCAGTCCGTATCATTTAGAAGAAAACTAGTTCAACTTTTAAAACTTACATCAATTTTGAATCTGTCGATAAGCTCGTCTGTTATCACCAAAGGAGCACCAATTACAATTTCATCGACCACCTGTAAAATACCAAATTCTTTCATCAAATATGAAATCTCAATGAACCAAAAAAGCACCTTGTACGCAAATGCAGAGAGTACTCGTTCGTACAGCGACATGATCGGATGGTAGCCTTTCATCTGGATTACATCCTGAATTTGCACACATTTTGCTCTGTCATCGGAACAAACGTAGGCTCATAAGGGCACATTTATTCCAAGTGTCTCTGTGGAAAATACTGATTCGTTTTGTGATTATAACTTCGGAGCTCATGGTTGGCGACCAGCTCAGAGACACCTGGGCGGAGCCAAGGGGCCGCACAGAGCGACATGCGTCATGAGCCGGCTACTTATTAGGTGACACGTCGTAGAAGGATTGGTGCCAATAATTCCGAGTCACGCAGGAGTACAGGCAATACTCTCTCGCGATATGAAAGTGGGATGTATCAGAACCCATCCAGAATATACGTTGAAACATTCGTGCCATAGATAAGGAAGCCAGAAAGTTTCCTTAGTGTACTTATCGCGAGAAACAAATTGAAGCGTCCCCGCCGCCAACATTTGGGACACTTCTACGTGGGAAACGCGAGAGCATTTTCTCTGTTTTGGATTGCAAATTGAAAGCGCAATTTGGTCGTTCTTAGCGTTTCTTATCTTGAAGGGTGGGTTCCAAGCCACCGATTCATGTGCAGAATTGATTCATGCGGTTTCCGTGCACGACTCGAGTGAGACTTGCCACTCACATCCTGTCAATAAAAGAAAAGGAAATGAAATCATCCAATGGAATGTACAGGGAAGGTCATCAAAGGAGCAAAGCGACATCAGTTAGAACATTGTCATGGCGAGTGATACTAAAAGAATATACGACAAAGGGAAGCAAGTTCGCGTGCCAAAATCCTCCCAGATGACTTTGGAAAAGCCTTCTGAAGTTCTTTGGCAGTTTAGAATGTGCTCGTCAACCTGCACTTGCGGAAAATTGATAGCGAGTAAATTATTTCCATTCAGTATGAGAGAGGAAAAAAAGCTGGCCCGATACGTGGCTGTATCAAGGAAAGGCTATCAACGGCAATGCTTTATTTTTTGTTCCTCTCTTTTACTGCTCACCTCATCCGTGTATATTCCAAGAATCAAGTAATCTCCAAGCTTTTTCGCTTCCTCTAGAAAGGCCAGATGGCCTACATTGAAGAAATCGAATGTTCCGCAAGCGTAATAACTTGAAGAAGTGGAGTGAAATTTCCGAAGATCGCGTATTTCATCACAAGTAAGCCACTTTGTATCATTAACATAAAGAACTTAAAAGCATGGGTCGATACAGAAGTGACGTGTAACTTTGTTCGAACTTAAAGGCACGGGCCGATGCAGAAGTGACGTGTAATTTTGTTCGAGTACTGGAAAAGATTGGCGAAGAGGAAGAATAGTGGGGAAAAAGGTGAAAAGGATCGTAGAAAACTGAAACTTTTTTGCGAGTTCGGCGTTGGTACGACGAAGAGGCATAGGACAGGATATTTGTATATATAAGCACATCAGACGTCAGAGGGTCGAGCCCGACTCCATTGCGACTGATAACAATGGCACCGGTCGCAGCGGTCCTTCTCCAGGAGCCCAGTCGCGACCTATGCCTTTTAGAACACTGAAATAATTTACCTTAGCACCGCTTTTTGGCCCTGCACCACACGCCAGTAACTTGAACGTCTCTGATGTAGCTAGGAAGATATTGTTTTGCCACGGCAAATGCATTACCTAAAATAATATGCTTTTGATATCCATTGGTTCCATAAAAGAAAAAAAGGCGAGCTGAAGATTGGAAAATAGAAAAAAAGTGTGCTAAAAGAAAAAATCAATGCATCGGGCGTGGCATGCATAGCTGCCACAATGTCCCAAGTAGTGTGAATGCGGCACACACAGTTGCCACGACATAGTCAGTGTGTTAAATGGATTCCGGTCGGATCTCGTGGCTACTTGGACCCTTCTCCTTCTCATAAGTGATAGTCGATTGGCCTCTACGGCACTGTATGGAACAGTGAAGCTGGTGTGCTGGTGCCACAGTCCGCGCTTCCGCGAATCGCGCGACGGATCACAGAAATCACAAGTGCCCGATCAATACTGCGAAGGTGCTCTCCAATCCCGCCGCCATTTCTGCTTGATGGTGATGGTTGAATGACGACTGTTCATGATTCTACTTGTTTCATATTCAGTGTTTCAAATGTTCAAATGGGCACTTGCGATTTTGCAATTCGCGCGACGGATCGCGGACTCTGTCATCAGCCTAATCGACTCACAATGTCCAGCTTAAGCGGGTTATTCGATTCGATTAGGATTTCATAGAGTGGTAGGGGCAGTGTAGAGTTGTTGTACATATAGAAGGACACTTTCTACTCCCAACGGGACAAGAACCCTCGTTGGGCCTTGTTTCCAGGTGTCAACTATGCCGCGCGCGAAAGCGCATTTGGCCCGTTGAACAAGATTCGAGGCTAGCCTTCTCAAAACTTACAGCGTTGCCCCTAAAGGTTGGAGTATTAGTACCAAATAACCCATACCAGGAATTCCAGGGTGGATAGGATAACTGAATCGGGTAATTATAACAGAGTTTCCAAACCACCACATACCTCTAACCGTCATTCTGAAGCAGTCGAGAAATTAGACCGTCCCAGTTACTTACTAAGGTCGCTCCCGCTGAGAGTACACGTTCAATGATGTCCTAAATGTGAGTTACTTAGATAGTAAACCTTTGACAGACCGCTGCCTCTTAATGACTGACGATTGACGTACTTCCGAAGAAACCTCGAAAGCTTTCCTGATTCTGAGTAACCGTCCAGCTTCTCGTACTTCATCAAACCTGCCATCGTTGCTCGCACTCTCTGAATGGACACAATGTTGTACCAGCCTTTTCGTAATTTTCTTTTGTGAAATCAGTACATATTCCATAATTCTTTCATACAACAACTGCTCCCTCACCCCGAACTATCGTCTGACAGAGGCTCACTCCGTAAGAGATGGCCGATGTCAGACTTTGCAAATCGAGCGATTCGCTAGCGTCCGCGGTCGCGTCGCGGCCAACTATTGGCTGGTACCGCAACGCGACCGCGGACGCTAGCGAATCGCTCGATTCGCAAAGTCTGACATCGGCCTAAGGAAATTGTGGCCGAACAGACTCAAAGGAGAGATGCATGAGCTAAAATTACACGTCGCGGGTTCGCGGGCGCCATAATTCGCGAAATTCAATGCGCGCCGTTCATATCGCTCAAATTTCTGCTTTCGCCTGCGCCTTTTTCCCTATGCAGTTGCTATTCTGGCCTAAAACTGCAGTGCAGGTGTTCGATTCGAGCCTCCTTTGAAGTATGATCATCAAGTAGTCCTCCAGAATTTGAGTTTCTCATTTTACCAGGTAAATCAGAATTGAAACAGGTATGAAAACACTAGGAAAGTGATTCTAACCGTCTACAGCACATTGGTAGCAGTTGTTTTTCTCCAGAGCGACCACCGACACGCGGTGAGGAACATTCTTGACCACCTGAAATGCAGAAATTCGATTACCATTCAAAATTGCAAATATTCAAAGCTTTGAAAATTGGTATTGGAGCTACCGCAACATACGGGGGCATCCTGTAGGAGAAGCCTAGGAGGGAGCAGGAAGGAGCAGGAACTTCGTTGAAAATGAAAATTGCAACCTAAAGTCTCCTCTCTCCCGTCTGAGGCTCAGTCCCGTTCCCAACAAACAGAAGATGCTTTACGCGATTCTAAATTCGCTACCATCACAGGTGCCCCGTATCTTTCGATAGAGCTGCGTCTAAAATTTTTGGGGATGATTTATTTAAGTAAGTAGGTTGAGATTTAGAAAGTAATAAGTATAAGAAGACTGAAATGATGTTGCATAAAAAATAAACATTTGCATTGAGTCAAGGGTACATTCCTAGATTGAGCTACATCAATCAAGGGTTTTTGAAAGCTGTTCACAAGAGTCCAAATTGCGCGATAAAGGCGATGATGCCTTGTCGCTTGTAAGTGACGCCGGCTCTTATACTTGACTCAGCGTTGTACACGCCGCAGTGTCTGCATCTCGCTCGCCGTAATGCTCTTTCTCTTCTGTAACTTCTTTCAAGCGAAAAGTGCGCTCGGAGCAATCCACCCACTTCTCTCACAGCCTCCAATTTCAGTTTTTCTATGATCTCCTTTGCCTCTCTTCACGAGCGATTCCTTTTGTAACTCTCTTTCATTTTCGGTCTTAAAATAATTTGAAATCTTTCAATGGTGAAATATAGCTTTGGGTAGCTACGTAGCTGGAAGTGGTCTTTTCCAACGGAGTTTTTCAGAATGTACGGATTGATGGGTTCCCATTTCTGCTCTAGAAGGGACATAGTTCATAGCTTATGAAAATGAATCATTCGAAGTAAAACAAACCTTGTCGACGAACTTCAAACTGGGAGAGTAGTCGATATCTCTCGTCCGCATTAAACACAGGCTGATAACCAGTACTGCGCTTAATCTGGAAGCACCGAAAAACACGATGTAATTCCAGGCAAGACAAATTCTACGAGGAATACCTCTTCGTCAGTATGCATGCCGACAACAACAGATCCGCCAAACTTCTTCGCTTCCCGAAGTTGATAAACATCTCCGAAATGAACCATTTCGAAGCTATAACAAATGGCTGAATTTCAGAAGATCACAGTGAATTATACCAAAAGCCTAAGCAGCTTAGAAATTCAGGAGGATTCAATTTTAGGGAGATTTGCTGTGAAATCAGCGAAAGTTCGGAGTAAACAGAGAAATAAATAAAAGTATAGATGTATAAGTAGTGGTGGAGTAGTGGCAAGTGGCGCCGTTCCCACGGCCGGTCACGGTGCAGGGGTCAAATCTTGGCTCGAATCATGATCAACCAACTCTTTCATCCGTGAAAGACGGGTAATTGGTTGAGACCTTCGGGTTCGACAGCAGCACTTGCTTGAAATTAGCTAGCTTCACATATATATAGGGGGCCAAACCATATTCAAAGCCACTGCTACTTTGTATGGAATCGGAATGCATGGCGCATCACGAAATAGATTGATCAACGTTGAATTTTTATCCTTTTGCCCTTCATACCAATATGTAAAACAAATTTTTACTAATTTTCAAAAAGAAAGGTGTTATTCCATCAAGTGACCGAATGTAGCTGTGATTTTGAGCGTAAATGGAGTGTGCGGCGCATCGCAAAAATCGATTTGAAATTGTAAATTGTAGCTCGAATTGATAAATAATTGATCAAACCTAAAAAATGAAATAGCGGCTCAATCGTAGATGAAAATTGTGCGCTAACACAGCATTTTACTCACCGTCCATCAACCCATACGTTTTTATTGCTCATGTTTCCTGTGACTGAGCGTCGTCTGACTGATCTGAAATTGAAGATAAAAACCAATCTGTTCAAAAGTAATCGTCACAGAGTGAGAAAGCGACTTTCATTTAAGTTTAAGGATTCAAGAATTTATTAAGCACTGTGCTGAGTAGCAAATGGACCGCCTTTGTGCTGCACCAATAAAGGGTTGCTGAATTACACCCCTTCTCCTCCCGTCTATCGGAAAAGAAGTATCACGGATGGACCTGTAATTGGGAATTTGGCAGCCAAAGACTAAGGTGCTTAGTGGGATGTAGCGCATTAAAAGCACGTGACACTCGCTCGAACTTTCGAAGACGACGACTCAAACGCACGCTCCGTGATTAAGCAAGCTCACCTGCTCTATCCCCGAGCGCAGTAGGCTAGCTTGCAAGCGGTGATGTCGCGCCCCTCTTGTGGCTTGAAAGTGCGCGGGTGCGCAAGCCCCGCCTTCCGCCATCGGTTGCTACGTGACGCTGCAGCCCAGGCGCAGTTGCGGCAGCGGCTGCATTGGGATTCAATGTTATTGACAGTGGAGCAACTGCAGCTGGGTTCGTGAAACTCGTCCAAACTCGTCCTTATTCAGGGCGTGATCGGCGGTCTTTCTTGTTCTCTTGTCCTTTCCCAGACCAGTCTGTCCCCACCAGAGTCAACCCTGCGTTGCGCAGTTCTCAACGGCCACGTTGCGCAGTTTCGCCCGATTAGACACGTTCTCTCGCGCGAACATTCACACTCGCATGCTCGAGCCGTCTGCGTCTCCGCCCATACAGCGTGCGTTGAGGATCTCTCAACGTGCCGTTGCGAACTGCGCAACGCAGGGTTGACTCTGCTGCCTTGATTAGTGATTTCACTGCCTTTTGAAGCGTGCCTTTAATAGAGAAATTTAGTCAATTGAATGGAGGTACAATGTTAGCCAGGAATTTCTTCTGTAGAGGTTGTTTGAGTGATGGAAGCGGTCTGACTGAAAATCTTAGCTCTTTCGCGGACGACCCGTGGGATCAAAATCTCTAACGAGCGATTCACGCATTCCATCCTCGAGACATTTTCGTAGGCAAAACTTCATCAGAAGGGGTGATTATTTGGCGCCAAGACTTTTAATCGTTCATTAGATCGACCACCACGAATTTCGTCCTCATTTGTTCCCGCTATAAGGATGTATAAAGTTTCTCACATCAAAAATCAGTTCCCGAAAAAACATGTCTTTGAAAACCAAGACCGAGATGGATGCGGAGCTAAGGGGGCACATGCGGGGCGACCACATGCCACTCATTATCGACGTGACCCTAACAAGGGAGGTCTTTCAGGACTTGGCAGCGTTTTCCAAAATGGTTACCTAATGTTGTAGAGGCTCATGTGAGAAACACAGAACCATAGTTCATTTTCCTGAACGCCCCCGGGTATGTCAAGAGAGCGGGAAAGAAATGGTCCAAAGTTCGATCCCCGTGACGACAAATTTTTGCAATTTATGTTGGCGCTTCCAAATTGCCGCAGAACACGACAATGACATCTATACTCGACGATGGCACCATTTGGCGGCAATCTGGGGCGCCAAACTATATTGCAAAAATTAGTCATCACCGGGGATCGAACTCTGGACCATTTCTTCACCACTGTTTTGACATTCCTGGAGGCGTTCAGGAAAATGGATCATACATAGTTCTGTGTTCCTCGCATGAGCTTCTACAGCATGCAGAAAACCGTTTCGAAAAAGCGCTCCATGTCCTGAATGTACTGGAAGGACATGAAATTCGAATATTTTGTCTCCCAAAATGTTAAAGCTATGAATCATATTTCAATAATGTTTTGTAAGATCATCGACAGCTGACAGCCCAAACATAGGAACAAATGTTGTGGTATTTGAGCTTAATCACCTATTTTATTGAAATTCCTTCCTACAGAGCTGTATATATTATTATATATTATAATATATATGGCCTCCAAACTATTATAGTCAGTTCTTCTAAATAAAGCTTCAGTTCTCAACGCGGTTCGTAACCAGAGTCAACCCTGCGTTGCGCAGTTCGCAACGGCACGTTGAGAGATCCTCAACGCACGCTGTATGGGCGGAGACGCAGACGGCTCGAGCATGCGAGTGTGAATGTTCGCGCGAGAGAACGTGTCTAATCGGGCGAAACTGCGCAACGTGGCCGTTGAGAACTGCGCAACGCAGGGTTGACTCTGTTCGTAACACTGAAAGACCTTCCTTGTAAGTATCTGAATCCGGAGAGTAGAGATGAAACGATCAACAGAATAGGATGCAGTAGAGGAGTGAAACGTTATTGCGCTATAGGTGAGAAGGCTACAGGTCTTCTCAAAGAAAGCATTCTAAGAACCAAGAGGAAGCGGCCGTGCAATCAACATTTGTGACACATGTACGGCGGGAATTTGAACGAGTGAGACCATCTTTTAGATTGTTGGATTGTTTACCGGAACAAACGCTATTTTTTCGTTCTTTTTGTTCCTCTCGCGGAGAATGCCTCACAGGCTAATGATTTTTGAATCATGAAGTTCCCGTGGACGATTTTGACCTTTGACAAGGAACGACATTTTCTAATGTTCTTAATGAATACGTGTTAATGACCTATCCTTGACCATGACTCAAGTGATAAAAAACAACAGATAAGGACCAATTACTTATCACAGTATAAAAATATGACCAAAATAGGTGTACGAATGAATGAAAGAACTGGACAATGTCGCACGCCTATGAGGTCAGGCTGATAGGTTAAATGGCGTGAGAGGGCCGAGGGTGGTTGTCTTAGATAAGACAACACTATCACAAAATATTAAGGGGCTTAGTTTCATGGAGTCAAGCGACCCTTCTGAAAGTTCATTTCATCGTTCATGAAGTTCACGTCAAAGCTGATGGAAGTGGAACGATAGGCAAAAAGCTGCTGAAAAGCAGACGAGATCATTGAGGAACGCGGGCGTTGGAGGAAACGACGGGGCTTTTGCTGGCCAAAGTTCCGGGAGGTCGTCTTTCGATGATTTGAAGGCGTCGTATTTAATATTAGAATGAAATCTGGAAGGAAACCATCTCTTCTTTTGGTGTAGTGAGGCAATTTTGCACCATCGTGCAAAACATTTAATATGTTGAAATCAGTAGGGTACTGGGTTGACCCCCACATAAACAGTTCCTTTTGGAGTGGGGGGGGGGCTGAGTAGGCAAGTCGTAGAGGTTCAACCGCTTATCGATGCACTTCATGTTGAAAGGTCTGTGGGGAGCTAATTCCCAAAAAACTCGGCCTGTAACCTATTACCGAATATGTTCCTTACTGGCGTTTGACCTTTTCTGAGAAGGATTCTTCAAAAATTCTCGGATTACATCGGCACAAATACAAACACACAGAAATGAACCCTGTTCGGGTTCCAAATGCAATTCATATTAGGAACTTATGGTCCCTCATAAAAAATGGAAGATACATGCAAACCAAAATGTGGAAAAGTATTGCCTATGGACGCTATTTGACCCTTTTTAGGCCGTTATAGAACCAGTCAGTAATAGGTTACTTGTTAGTCAACAAAGTAATTAATACGTTTTATACGACATTTCTACGTACCTTTTTTCCAGATGAATTCGTGCCGATCGGGAAGAAGGCGAGTATGGCAGTATGCGACTTTTGTTGATGTTTCCTTCGGCCTTGGCGTGTTTTGGCCAAAAACCAACGAGCGCCTTCTTTGTGCGGGTTCTTCAACAGACAGGCGGCAACCCCAGGACTGGCGTGAATACGCGTATTTGTTGTCTCGTGTACATCATTAACTGGGCTATTTTAGCGCTGGAACGTTCACACGCTACAATCGCTCAGTGATAAACAAATTGATTTGCATCACCTGATCACGTTCCTTTTCTCAACCATACACAAAAATAGCTACAAATTTCGATTACGTTCTGATTGATATTTTTCAATCTTAATGGCATCGCAGCCCATCTGGCCTAGATAAAGCTCGTATTTTGGGCAGGGCCTCGTACTTCACGAAGTTGCATATTACTGTGATCGTGGAAAGTAGATGCGTTTTGAGTTACTTAGAATTTATGGAAAAATAGAGAAATTTCGAAATTCACACCGACTCCTCCCACTCAATGGAGTTCTGGAGCTCTGGGGGCGGGGCTGAAGTGTGTCACGTGGTACCAGCTTCACCGCTACTATCGGCACATGCATACCGCCAACGCGATCTTCGAAAATGCTATTGCAATAAATCAGCCTTTCACCGAAGCCAGCTAACTTACTCGTGAGCCAACCACCGTCCTTCAAGAGGAGCTGGACAGCGGGGTCGTGCGCTGTGATTTCGGATTGCAGGCTCGTAATTGGAGAAGGGGTGGGGTCGTATTAGATAGATGAAATATTAAGAAGATCTTTTGAAAATGGGGAACCAGGGAACTTTATTGTTTCAACGATTATGCATTTATCGCCCCTACCCCCCCCCCTACCGTTCGAAGCATATCTAGTAATTTATAACCGGAGAAAAGAACAATACAAAAATCAGTTTATTCAGTTCTGAGCATATGATCGTATTGGAAAGTAAATTTATACACGTGTAAACACCATAATTAAAATTCTATTTCATAAGTAATTTACAGATTACGAATTGCAGTGTACTTGTAAAGCTCAGGGTTAGACTAGACAATCAATAAGCACTTTAAATGCACCACATCATTCAAATTTCCTTTTTGAACGGCCGAAGAGAGCCGCGAATGTTAAATTGATCACGAAAAAATCGCGATGAAGCTGAGCCTTGAAACGGGAGAATTCAAGTGTTCGACGACTCTTTCGTAGCATTCGATCGGGCGGGGAACACGTCACGTACAAAGGCTGGGAGAGGGAATCGTGGTGAAGACGACTGCAAAGAGAACTTGTAGAATACAGCACGAATAAATTTTACTTGCTTTTCTGAAGAGCCACATGCCGGAGAAATTCTAAACAATAAGGTCCTTAGCCTGTAAACACGACCTTTCTCACTCTTCTACCGATCTCCTACGACCTCTCTTTCAT